ATATATATAGTAATGGAGAGACGGGAGTTATGAATACGAACCATCAATTAATTATTGTTTGTGTATATATTAATATATGAAAGTAATAAATTAAAGTATATATATTAAATAAAAAAATCCAAAATGTTAAGAAATTCTCTACACTTTTAGAATAATATAGATAGATATAATCCATACAATACTTAATCCCAACCAAGTCAATTTTAATGAGACATTACTTAAAGTTAATTGCAATCTTGATGCAATGTGAATGGTGAATGTTGATTCATTAGTCATGTGTAGCCCTTCCATACAATACTTAATCCCAACCAAGTCAATTTTAATGAGACATTACTTAAAGTTAATTGCCATCTTGATGCAATGTGAATGGTGAATGTTGATTCATTTGTCATGTGTAGCCCTTAATTTGTTTGGATATATATATCTGCTTAAGGCCTACACATTGTACACCCAAAACTGACGTGGTGAAACCATATCCAAACAAATTAAGGGCTACACGACTGATGAATCAACATTCACCATTCACATTGCATATTGCAATTAACTTTAATTAATGTCTCATTAAAATTGACTTGGTTGGGATTAAGTATTGTATGGATTCAGATCTCAGTCCCCATATATTACAATCTAATAAGTTCTTTGATAAGGGAAGCTCCATATTACACGGTTGTTACGCGTTGTCATTAATTGTCACGTGATTAATTTTCATGTCTCTTACCATTTTTCAACCACATCACCATCTATTATTAACAACAAAGTTTAATGCATTGCAAGTACTAAATTAATTTGGTTTACGTGCAAGGACTTGTAGACGGTGGTCTTCAAAGAAAATAATGGTAAATTTTATTCAAAATATGTTTTTAGTACATCAATGTGTTAAGTGAAGTTGTCGTTGTTATCAAAGAGTCATGACTGCATTTAACATTTTCATTTTTAATATGTTTAAAAGACTAGCATCGACCCGTCAATGTGAACAATTATAATTAATTGATGCTAAATGTTTGTCTTGATTAGGACCACATAATTCAAATGTCTCCCCATTGAGAATATACATTACAAAGTTCAAATTAATATGCTCCTATCTTTTGGTTAACTTTTGAATGGTTGTGAGTGATAAGAGAAGAGATAAAAGTTTTGTTTGGTTAGAAGTCATTTTTGCAGTTAATTAAAGAAGAAATTATGGGGTTTGCATTGAAATTCTACAACTTGCAAACCATACACAATATTTCAACCACATGAATCACCACCATTTATATATTAAATGTATATATATATATCACAAACCCTAATTACTTGGTCAGAGTTGAAGATGGTATTTTCAATTAAAATTAAAGAAGATAAGTGATACACCTACAAAGGTTATTATTGATAATCAAGTTGAGGGAGAGACAACTTATAATTTTCAAAAAAGTATAACTTTTAATTTGTTTTTATTATTGTTCAAAAAAAACTGCTAATATAAAGATAAAATATGTGGTAATATAAAATGTCTTGTAATGTGTGAATGAAAATAAGATACATGTTGCCCACAATTTGTGGTCACAAAGGCAGTGCCATGCCTTTCGAAGGACAGACTATTTTTGACAAATTGAAATTCCAAAATTATCAAATCATTTTCAAATAAATTAGAATTAGGAATTAAGTTGATTAGAGAAAGAAAAGTAATATGCATGTAAGAAGTTGAGAAAATATGTTTACAAATATATAATATTATTCACAAAATGCAGTTTTTTTTTTTGTCTCTCTCTAACTCTAAAGAAACAAAGGCTACAACAAGGCAACATCAACTGTAGCCCCAACAACGGACAAATCAGCCTCCAAAGCTGAAAGCAACCAAACAGGCCACACTGAGCAAAGAAAAGGCAGTTGATCTATATGTTGTCTAAAATAATTGATCTGATAATGTATGATTTTTTTTTTAGGAAAAAAAGAAAAAGAAAAAGAAAAGAAATGAAACAAATGTAGATTTCAAGGAATAATTTGTAGAATTTTTGGTAGCATGAATTGGGTCCCACATTTGTGTGGATGGGGGAGCCCTTTGGTCTTATTCTGCAGGCCCCTTCACTCGGAATATCACACAACTCATAAAAAAAAATTTGGCAAGAAAATGATGAGTTTGAAAAAACTACCTCCAACTTTTTGTATTGAATATAAAATTGATCAACCCATGTTTCAATCATGTTGATAAGTATATGATATATGAAAAGTATATATACACATTGGAAGTAAAAAATTGTCACTATCAACTCCGCAAATTTTGAAAAAAAAAAGAAGCAATTTTCATAAATTGGAATCATGCAATGAACTTAGAAATGCAACATATCTCAGTATAAGAGTACAAGTTAATAATTCATAATAAACGTACGTTGCAATAATTATAGCTAGAAATGTTAAAACTATTATATATATAGCAATGACAATCATTCACAATTTCACAATGATGATTTGTTTCTAGTTATTTATATTAGACTTCAAGTTTTAATTCGATCAAGAAAATTAAAACTCGACTTGAACTCATAATTTTCCGCTATTTAAAACTCAATCCACTCACCCCTTTTTCCAGTTTTGAAATCACAGAGCAATTATTATTATTTATTTCTTTTGGTAAGTGGAATTACATTATAAAAAAAATTAATTCCCTCTAAATATATACTCATAAGAGTCAAATACACCACACCTTCAAAGAGGTAATGACTTACCAGTTACTACCTTGCCAGAAAAAAAGGGTTCAAAAACATTTAATAAATTGTTTTGACATCGAAACGCTATTGGTACTAATTAGTAATTAAACTAATGGTTAAGAACAAATCCAGCGATGAACGTGATTACGAGCGAGAAGACTTGTTAAAGTCAAGAAGTGAGAAAATCATTGAAGCATTTTTAAAACCTTCATGGATTCACATTTAAATGGCATACAAGCAAAGCAAATGTAACTCAAAAGTCAGTCAATGTAAGCACACAGCACACGGAAGTTACAATTACTAATTAGTCACGGAGGTAGAGTACAAGGCAAAGATGCTTTTTTCATACCATTGGAGGTCGATGGTGTCAAATTCATTAGAGTATCTCATAATCTTCTGCATCAAAAAATCATCGGAAATTTTTTTCTAAGAATAAACCATCAAGAAAATTCAAATTCCCAAACTCCCTGCCATAAGCAAAAAAAGCTGTCATCTAATTGAGTGAGGATAGTAGGATACCAATGTAATATCATTTCTAAGCTTAAATACTAAAAATTGAAATATAGAATATTTATTTAAAAAAGGTAAAATTTTAAACTCTGTCACAAAGTTGCTATGTGGACTCGTACGTTTAATAGACCAAGAGAGCACTTCAAAAACTTCCAATATATTATGGTAGCGTGCACCAAATTCTACGTGGAACCATCAAACTATTATTTTGTCACATGGTTGGTTCGGTCAGCAACTAACAAACTATTTCGTTACTGAATCAAATGTAACGGTCATAATTTCTTAGTACACTACAAGCTATCATTACGTGTGGAATATAATTTATATATATATATATATATATATATATATATATATATATATTAAGGGTTTAAGAACAAAAAACAGCGCGCTATGGAAAAACTCCTATTAGGAAGACTTAATTTTATCTAGAACATCTGTTGGAATAAACCATTTATTGTCTCAGCTGCTGTTGTTGGACTATTACTAAATCACTCTGACTATTTTGGTTCAGAATAGTTTGATAACTTGGGATTATACATATGTATAGAAAATAATGTGGTTCAGAGTCCATGACGCATAACATTTTGACAAATGTAGTAGGGTTTTGTTCTTTTACTTATAATTAAGCTCTGTTTCCCAGAAAAAATGATGAAATTAAGGCCACCAGAACCTTCTAGTTCTATATATATATATATATATAAAGAAAAGAAAAGACAAGAAAAGAAAGGAAAATTTATGAAGAAAGTTGATTGCCAAACAGAGCAGTTGTTGATAGTCAGATTAGCTAATGATGCTAAACAAGACGACATTAGAGAATGATTGAATTAAATGTTCAATGTTGGTTTGGAGACTGATTAGGGCATCATTCGACCAGAATTAAACCACAGAATTAGGAACTAATATTATAATTAAGGCTTACATTAAAAAGACAACGTACCCTGTAGATCAGCTATCATTACTTTTTATAAAGCCGCCATATTTGTGGTCATGCCAAAGCTAGACTTAGTCCACAGAAAGAGAGGAAAATATGATTGTAATCCTGATTTTTTTTGTTATACAGTTGCACTATATTTTCACTTCCAGATCAATTATAACATATATGTTTTTGCTAACATAAAAAGAAGAAACAAAAAAAAAAAGTCAGATAAATAAAAAAGAGATGCAGATAAACATACAAGCAGAAAACAAAAAATAATTGACTAATACAAGAATTTAATTCGAAAACGTGAGGAGCGAGTATGGAAAAATCCTTGAAATTTACTACATATTTTGCGTTCATATATATTTATATGTATGTATATATAATTTCATTAAATTAAGCTTTGGTCTTGATTATTTTATAGTTAATTAGAATGGTCAATAAATTAGATGAGATAGCTGCTTACGTCCTGAATTGGATGTTTTCTACCTAAAACTAGCATATATTGTGAAAACTTAGCTTCCTGCCAAAGAAATGGTTATGACCAATTAATCAAAGCTGCTAAGTATTATTATTGTTTAAAAAATAAATAGTGAAGTATTATTATCATTAAAAAAAAAAAAACACATTTATTAATTTATTGTTTAGTAAATTAGTACAAGTTGTAAAATTGCATAAAAATGCAAGTCTCGAGCTTGCAAAAAGTCAATAATACAAAAAATCAAAATTTTCTTTCTTTATACACCTTTTTTTTTTAATTAATTGTAATTGGTAGTTACGGTATTAGACCTCTGAAAGCCACGTGTAACGCGGAGGAGTCGTTTGTGAGTCACTCCTAAAAAAGTCACCCTCAACCCCAACATTTCAAAACGGACGAAACTGCGGACTCCTCCCTGTATCTACGTCTATATATTAACCTCCGCACACCACAACTCCAAAGTTCCAAACCTATTCATAACAAGACACACACACACATTACCCGCACAAAGCTTGGTAGTAGAGCTTACCTCTCTTCTCTGTCCTTAATAATTTGAGCTATATACTATGCCGAAGAAAGGAATGAGAAGCCTTTGTTTCACGTCCTCCAAGACGTCGTCGTCTTCCTTCCTCTTTCACTTCCCTTCAACTGCCCGCATCACCGCTCCTCCCACCCCGAGTCGGAGCTTCTCTGACTCGGCCATGGAACGGACTCTCGAGTCGGCCGAGTCCATGATCATGAAATGGAATCCAGAAACTTCAACCTACGCCAAAGTCACTTCTCTCTTCTACGAGAACCGAAAAGAGGCCAGAGACTTCATCAAATGCGTTAACGATTTGCAGAAAGCGATGCACTCCATCGTCAACGAAGATTCAAGCTCCGACATGCTCGTGCGAGCCCAAAACCTCATGCAAATCGCTATGAAACGACTCCAGAAGGAGTTCTATCAGATCTTATCCATGAATCGAGCTCATTTGGATCCCGAATCGGTCTCTGCCCGATCCTCCCTTGCCTCCACCCGATCCAGCACGTCCGATTACGAGGACGACGACACACATGACGATGAGATCCGGACCGCCAGCGACTCAATCTCCGAGGTCGAGCATGTCTCCAACTTCGTCATGGCGGATTTGGGATCCATTGCCGAGTGTATGATCTCCTCTGGTTATGGCAAGGAGTGTGTGAAGATATACAACATTATACGAAAATCGATCATCGATGAAGGAATCTATCGGCTCGGAGTTGAAAAATTGAGTTCGTCGCAGGTTCATAAGACGGATTGGAATTTGCTGGAGATGAAGATCAAGAATTGGTTGAATGCTGTGAATATTGCAGTGAAGACGCTGTTCAATGGAGAGAGAATTCTCTGTGATCACGTCTTCACATCGTCAGAGTCGATCAGAGAGTCCTGCTTTACAGAGATATCGAAAGAAGGAGCGACGCTTCTGTTTGGATTCCCAGAAATTGTGGCCAAAAGCAGCAAGAAATCGCCGGAAAAAGTGTTCCGGTTACTCGACATGTACCTTTCAGTCTCCAATCACTGGCCGGAGATAGAATCAATCTTCGCATTCGAATCAACGTCCGTAGTCCGAGCACAATGTGTCACCTCGCTGATCAAACTCGGTGAGTCGGTGCGGACCTTGCTCACCGAGTTCGAATCGTCAATCCAGAAGGACACATCGAAATCCGCCGTCGCCGGCGGCGGAATTCATCCTCTGACACTCGACGTGATGAATCACCTCTGCCTACTCGCGGATTACAGCAACGTACTCGCCGACATCCTCGCCGACTCGCCACCACCGACGAAATCGTCCCTGCCGGAATCTTACTTCGACACTTCCGATTCGGACGATTCGCCTGCGCCGGCGATCTCTCTCCGGCTAGCTTGGCTCATCCTCGTCCTCCTCTGCAAACTCGACAGCAAGGCAAAGCACTACAAAGACGTAGCTCTATCGTACCTCTTCTTAGCCAACAATCTCCAGCACGTCATCTTCAAAGTCCGTACATCGAACCTCAAGTATCTACTCGGCGACGATTGGTTGTCCAAGAACGAAGTCAAAGTCAAACAATTCTCATGGAACTACGAACGGCTGGGATGGGACCACGTCATCAAATCACTCCCGGAGGATCCAAAAGCGGTGATTTTGCCGGCCGAAGTGAAGGAGTGTTTCAAGAGATTCAACCACGCGTTCGAGCAGGCGCACCGGAAGCAGTCGGTGTGCGTCGTACCGGATAGCAAGCTCCGAGACGACATCAAAATGTCCATTGCGAGAAAGCTCGTTCCGGTGTATCGGGAATTCTATAATACGCATAAACTCACTTTGGGGAGAGAGAGAAATTTGGCAGTTTTGGTCAGGTTTGCCCCTGAGGATATAGAGAATCAGTTGTCTGATCTGTTCTTTGGAACGGCTGGGTCTGGGACTGGTTCGTCGTCGTCTTCAAGATCTCGTTAAAATATGTCACTTTCAATTTTGGGTATGGTACTGTAGTATATATATACACGTCAGCTACTTTGAGCCCATTTTTTTTTGGAGGACAAAAGCCTAAGGTATAGATACTGGAATGTTTTTTTTTTTTTTTTTTGGGTTAAAGGAGATACTGGAATGTTGTTGTCTTCTGTGTAAAATATTTGTCGTTGGTTATAAATAAAAATTCGATGAACAACTTCATTTTTATTAGTGATATTTGTTTGTAAAGTTTGTTTGTAAATAACTTTATATATAAACGTACATCATTTTATATCTATTTTAATTTATTTTAACCAACTTAAACATACAACTCCATAGATATGAGGAGAAATTATTATATGATCTTGCCAATGACTAATATATTTGTATTTTTTGTTGACGAATCAATTAATCATTAACTAGAATCAATAATTTTGAAACTACGCAATAATTTTTTAAAATTTGAGAGATTATTATTATTTTTTATTTTGTAATAACTTTAAGGCCAAAATACATGAGCTTTATCATATGGTAGTTTCATTTCATTCCCTTAACGTGATAAGAGTGATAATCTCAAATATTATTTTTGTCATTTCATATACATGAGGCCAAATTAAATACATGAGCTTTATCATATGTTATTATTATTTTTTATTTTGTAATAACTTTAAGGCCAAAATACATGAGCTTTATCATATGGTAGTTTCATTTCATGCCCTCAACGTGATAAGAGTGATAATCTCAAATATTATTGTTGTCATTCTTAATTTTATACTTGTTATATGTTCTTCCCAAATTCTAAATACTTGAGAGATTGTTTTTCTTGTTTTTGGTATAAAAAAAAAAAAAAAAAAAATTGTTTTCAAGCCCAAAACACAAGTGCTATATCACATTCACATGGTAGTTTAAGTTCAAAATATTATTTTTTACATTCTTAATTTTATACTTGCTAATTGCTATATGGTCTTCTCAAATTATAGATTAACATATTGATAAGACTGATAATGTCAAAATATTATTTTTTACATTCTTAATTTTATGTACTTGCTAATTACTATATGGTCTTCTCCAATTATAGATTAACATACTGTAGACTCTATCTCTTAAAGAGAGTATACCATATAATAATTAGTAAGTATAACTGTGACCGTTTGTTCATTTATTTAAATAGTTAAGCTATTAAGTGGGACTAATACCTAACTCAGTTTTATCTATTTCACTTCCATTCGAATCCGTTCCGTTGTGGTCGAGTCACCTTGTCTAACTGGATGTCTTTCGGGTTGAGCATTTGGCGTGACACCAAATTAAAGAATAAGTCTAATTCTGATACCAATTATAACGTGTGAACATTTACTTATTTAGTAAAAAAATTAAAATTATTAGATAGAGTTAACACCTAACTCATTTTTACCATATTACCTAAGGTGACGTAAAACAAGTCCCCCTTATAAAACTGTTCCATCTTTTTGCTTCATCTATACAACAATTAGGAGTCATTTCTTACAAATCCCTCAATTTTTTTTGGATAGTCATGGTTAAATTATTTAAATCTCACACCGCCAATTATATGAATGGGGAGTATTCGATAGACTTGGATAGTAGGCCGGTTAAAATCATTTTCCATTCTAAAATTGTGACACGAAGCATTAATGAAATTCGAACGGCCATAGTTTCACTATTCCTTGTAAGTAAAATCATTTTCCATTCTAAAATTGTGACACGAAGCATTAATGAAATTCGAACGGCCATAGTTTCACTATTCCTTGTAAGTACCTTTCATAGTTGGTACCCATCACCGACTAGGCAATGCCGCTTTAGTTGTGTCCCAATAGCTATAAATATAAATGAAGACGTTTTATCAAGTCAACATATATACACATAAATATAAATTGATATATGTCGTGCGCGCGCCCACGTGTGATTAATAGGGGCATTTCTGGTAGATGCCGTGATTAACAAACAAGTGACATGTAATTAATAACAAGTTGAAAATTGAAGTTCATATACGGCAGCTGACTTTTCTTGATTTCTCCGTGGTCTCAATACTGAAAAAGCCACATCAGCATAGGAAAAATCTAATATTGAAAATGTATTCGGTGAAATTTCTCCGCACAGGAAGAGTAAGTCAAACCACAAATTGATAATAAAAATCAAAATTTCAAACTCACATAATTCTGATTTCATCTTTGTCACACGTCACATCTGAAACTTTGATACAACTAAATAAATATAATGAAAAATAACATTGACAAAAATAAAAGTCTACACAATTTTCCCACCACTGATGACCTAGCTCTCAAAAGTGGCCCGTTTAATATTATTGGCCACGGAAAAGTAGTACAAGCTCATGTGAATTCATCAACCACGATATTTCAACAACATTGCCATTTCAACGCGCGAGTTCTAGCCATTACAAGAAATATAGTGCAAATTTGGTTCATCTAATTTTCAATACAAATGCATTATTTGCCGGAGAAAAACAAGTGTAAATGAACCATGTGTTTTATTAAAAAAGAAAAATATAAATGTATCATATACACTTTATTCATTACTTGATGTGAGGTCAAATGTAATATATTATTAATCACTTTGTACGCGATAGTGTCAAAAACAAATATTTTTATATTCTTTTTCTTGGTCATTATTATAATTTATTTAATTATTATAATACTATAGGAATTTTAATTAGCGCACGACCAACACCGGCAGTCCAAAGACCAATTTTATCAACACACACGAAGAAAGAAAAAATAAAAAGGGGGATATAATAAGTGCTACTTTGAAAAGCCCAACTAACCACTCACATGGTGCTTGTGGGTCCAAAAAAATTACGCCAACGGTTGGATTTGTCGCAAGTTGCATAAATAACATATATAACGAAAATCACAATTATAATTGATTCTTCCTTTTATTCAGGAGAATCACTCTCAAGTACTCGTATTAAAACTTTTTTTTATAAGTAGCTGAACCCTAAACAAAAAGGATGTGTGTGTGTATTTTTTTTCACTCTTGTTTTTCAAAGGATTTCATGAAAAACTGAAAAGATGAGTATGGGCTTAGCCAAAGAATGAAGATAAGGTTTAACTTAGTGATGGCCATTTGACATATGAACACTCCTATTTTGGTTGTTATGCGGAAATATTGAATAGAGAATTGAATCATTTATTTGGAAATCTAAGAACAAGTTGGAAACACATGGTTGTTTAGGATTTTGCTGGAAGCAATTTCAAATAACAATAACGGCACCAAATGAACAATAGTTTAGTTGGTACAAACTCACTCTTTTAGGAGAAATAAGGAATTCAAACTTCTATATGGACATGTGTGTGTGAGTTTGTTTTTATCATCTAAAAAAAAAAAAAGGAAAGAAAGAAAAAAGAATGACATAATTGCTCCGAAAAAAACTCACCTCCACTTACTTTTTATAGGACTATGATGAACAAGTTGGTGACCGTGACATATGGCTTAAATATTGAAGTATTTTTTAAATTCTTTTATGACAGGAATGTTAAGAATTAGTGATTGAAAAAAAAAAGGTGCACCATATATTTGAGTACATAATTTCAAAATTACCTTACCTGTTCTTCAACTATAAAAATTCCTTTAAATCCGACATCCTTTGTGGAGCTGTTGTTTCTGTCTTTTTAAAGTTGTGATCTGAATTTTGTTTCAGTATGGGTTTTGAGGGAAAAACTTTTTCACCCATTTTGTTTTGCGAATTGCGGACCCAAATTTAGTCTCTGCTACGGTTTGTACTGTGGGTACTAGAGAATACTAATAGCTGAAATAGAGACTGATAAATAGAGACAAGGGGTTGGAACTTGTGATCTCCCATTTTCTTAGCATAATGAAATATTTTCATCCATTTTTACCGTGAACGTAGGCTATACACCGAACCACAAGAATCTTTATGTTTTGTGTGGGTGCATGTTCTATTTTTCCAACGTTATTTATTTATTGCATTCTTAGTTTTGTGGCGTTTTTCGTAAGAGTCTTGCAATATGAGCGACTCCATACTTAATATTCCACTCCCTAGAGTTGAGTAATTCTATCACAAGTTGATAAGAGAAGTCATGCCAAATTCTGCATTATTTGCCCGGGAAAAACAAGTGTAACTATGTGTTTTATTAAAAACCAAAAATATAAATGTATCACGTGTTCTTTAGTCATTACTTTGTGCAACGTCAAGTTTAACATATTAATGTGATGCATGTTTCAATATAAGTTTTCATCACTTCGTACATAATAGTGATGAAATTGCATGTAATAAGGTAAATGTACTTAATATTGAAAAGGATATTTTAGGCAACGCAAATTTAAAACAGTAAAAGTTCATATGCCAATTCATTTTTTGGATCAAATTCATTTATTTGAAACTATAAAACTTTGACTCAATCAATGACTAAATATGGGGCCTCAACCCATTTATACGTAAAAAGTCCCAAAGGAAAAGAGGAACATTGACATTTGAGCCATGGTGAGAGACAGAATAGGTCCTTGTTCCCAAAATGTGTCTGTAATTTTGTATTCATCTTCTTTGGGATGTAATTAGTCCAACCAATATAGACTCTTACTAGTAGCAACACATAAATAATTGACAAATTCATGTTGACTGCCATATTGAGATACCGCTCAATGCAGTGTTTTAGCTCTAACAAATACAAATGTTTTTTTTTTAAAAAAAAAGAAAAAAATCTCAATTCAAGAAAGTAAAACAGTAAACTACATTAACTTTTTCTTAAATTTGGATAAATTATATACAAATAGAACGTCAAGATTTAGAACGGGTGTTAAACAACACCCCTAGAATCATCTTCACTAATGACTTTATGTTTGATTATAAGATTGGTCTGGTCACTAAGGTACTGTTTGTTTAGTTAAGAAAAAAATAGCGGTAAAGTGAAACCTAAGCATAAGAGAGAAAAATAAAATTTTCAACAAATTTTTGGTTAGAATGTAAATGTTGTAAAAAAAAAAAATTGTTGAATAATTCAAGACAGTATTCGGTTGCGATCTCTCTATGACCCATTAGCAGCCACCATCACCATTAGCGCCACTAACTTTAAAAAACCCATAAAATTATTTTGTGGAGCAACAACTTAAAATTAGCAACATCTTCTCCAACGATGTATAGTTGGTCAGTGGTCCAATCAGTAGTGTGTGCTCACACAAAGCCATTGTCGTGTCGAGTTAGCATAAGTTAGGTAGCCCCCTCCCCCTGAAAAAGAAAAAAGAAAAGAAAAGAAAAAGCCACTAATAATCATAAACATCTATTTTAAATGCATTATTAAAGTACTAACTCAGCTGGGTTCGGATCTCCTCATTTGCTACTACTGTGGAAATCTGATGTTCCGATTGAATGGGCGGTAGTTGATTTTATATAGTTACCTCCTAAATAATAATATATCAATATAAAGAGAGAGTAAAAAGAAGTGAAATTTTTTATATAGTTACCTCCTAAATGTACCATTATCGAGGAGATGAAAATGCTTCAATTTGTGATGGCATGTCGTTGTCTTAGAAAGTGGCAGTAGTGTTGGATTTTTGCGCGTGAATATCCTCGTCACTGCCCATGTTTCCAAAGGTGTTAATTGGCTGGAGGAGCAACATTTTTATTGGGTCTCCAATCATGTATATATGGTCCACTTAGTAACACTAACAAATCCTTTGTTACGTAGTGTTAACAATAGTGTGGTCAGTCGGGTAAAAACAAGTGCCGGGAGTAATATATGCAACTTTTAATTTAATCGTTGGATGAAATATAATGATTGAAATTGAAAACAACTAATATTATTTGTTTGTGATTTTTTAAAACTCCAAAACTACTCACGTGTTTTAAATAAAATAGAAAACCTTATAATGAGGAGGTAAAATCCTTAAAAGAACGCACTATTGTATTTTTTCATAATTAAAGTAACAAGTTGTAGTCAGTGTTTTATTATTATTATTTTTTACAATATAGAAGGATTTAGTAATTATGAATAAAAAAAAAAAGAAAGAAAAAAACATATAAGTTTTCTGACAAAAATTTTGTATGAAGAAATGTCCTTATCCTTAAAAGAATATAATTTTATAGCATATGTAATGTGCAGTAGTTTTACCAAAGGAAGGATAAAAAATTTTAGAGACAGTCAAACCAAATTAAACTATGAAAATCCGCCCGTAAGCATGCTAAACCCTTACTGCAACACACAAAAACACAAATTTCCCAAATAAAGGAGACGGTTAATATAGTCAAATTCACCACAGGCAAGAGGATGTTTTGGGAGGTTGAGGGACAAGAGGGAATGTTGTTTTATCTCCATGCCGTCACTAAATTTAAAAAATCACAAATAAATAATATTAGTTGTTTTTAATTTCAGTAAAAGTCCGCGTATATTATTCCCTGCACATCAAAAAGCAACTAAACGGGACTAATTAAAATACTACCTCAACATTGTTACGATCTCTTCCTTAGTTATTCTTGTTTATAGCTCACGCTCATTTTCAAAACTGCTAATCTTAACCCTCAATCTTTTTATTGGGATTTTTTTCACTTTTTCTCCATGAAATTTACTTCTGAAAATTCATGCATTCAGTTATGAAGAATGGAGTTCGTTCCCATCACTGAACATCTTCTTTCACTCTACGTTCTTTATGACGCCAGACTACACTTACACTACTAATCACACGCAACACCATTCTTTAAGATTTGGTGAGTTGGGTAGGACAATTTGATGATATGGATTTTCAATGGATGGTGGAGTTCCTGAAGGGCATGCTGAAGCCAATCGCCGCCACTGCGGTGGTGCTTTTGGCGGTGTTTTTGTCATATTTTCAGAGATTGGGTTTAGGGGGCGAAATGGTTTATTCAATTCTAAGGGCTTTTCTTCAGCTCTCTGTTATTGGCTTCGTTCTTGAGTTCATTTTTAGTCAGCACAATAACGGATGGATCGTCGCCGCTTATCTTTTCACGGTATATATTTTCTCCTCTCTCATTGTTTGGTTCCTGATAAAAATGGAAATTAATCTAATTCTGAATCTTGAGTTTTAAAATGAGCTTGATTTTGCAGTAACTTTTTTTATTTCGATTAAGCAGAGTTTATGCGGATTTAGAATTCAGTTGTAGATTTTTGTTTCCAAATCCACACTTCAATGTTTTCAATGTCTCTCTCTCTTTCAGCAACTACATGGAATATTCCCTTTTCAATTGCTAATATTTTAGGATGTTATTTTATGGTTTTACTGAATGATATTAAGTTCTCTGTTCTTCGTATGATTTGATTATATTATTTTTTATGTACTAATTTGTGTATTTAATTCTAGAAGAGGAAATTTGATGTTTGTTGAACTTTTGTTTTATGGTGTTATATAATACTTATGTGTTAGATAGTTCACTATAATATTTCATTCTTGAAATCTTTCAATTGCTGTAAAAAACAAAAAATAATAATAATAATAATATAAAACAAAAACAAAAACAAAAAAACAAAAGAAAAAGGGTCAAAATTTAGTTTTATATATGGAGTACGGACCATTGTTTGAGTTGGGTAATTACGGAGAAATTATTTTTTCTTTTATATTTTACCGGTCTAGACTTTGTGGAAATGATTCAATATTGGAAAATTTTACTCACCTTAATTCCTCCAATTTTGTTATTCTGGAAAACCAATTCCTTCTTTTTAGTTTCTCCACAATTCCTTACCCTGAGCAGTGAGCACTTGAATAAACATTCTTGTTCTTTAAAAAGAAAATAGGAATTTCATATATGTATATATTTGCAAATGACTGTAAAAATGTTACTTCGGAGGTTGTAGCGCGTTTTCTTAAAATGGCTATAAATTGAGAAGGGGGGAAGAGATGAAGCCTTTGATTTGTTGCAGACTAAAAACTCTAATTTGGGGTTGTCAACATGTTTATGATAACAGATACTCTGTTTTCATCACTAGGTTGTAGCATTATCTTACACTGTTCTATCATGGTTTGACACTGAGTTAAGATTGTAAAAGATAATATAATGAGTTGAATTAATATTCTAAAAACAGTGAATGGTCTTGTGTATGTGATAGAACTGAACAATATGATCGAGCTGATGACACAATTGGACATGTTTTATGATTAAAGTACCTCGACATTCATGGCAGCTGATTCCTTCTTTGGCATTGTTGGGTGCATCACTTGAATTGGGCTTATTTATTTCATTGTGCCCCTGCAGGTCTCTGTTGCTGGTTATACAGCTGGTCAACGTGCCAAACATGTCCCTAATGGGAAGTATGTTGCCGGAGCCTCAATTCTGGCAGGAACTGCGGTGACGATGTTGGTGCTAGTTGTGCTGCGTGTTTTCCCTTACACTCCACGCTACATAATACCCGTGGCAGGGATGATGGTTGGCAGTGCAATGAGAGCCACTGGAGTTACAATGAAGAGACTCCGAGATGATATCAAGATGCAACTAAACCTGGTAAGTCCTGGTAGAAAGAACACTTATGGGGAAATCATTTCCAATGGTAAATAGTTTTTCAAATCTAGAATTATGACGACTTCCTTTAAATTTTTGTGTAGGTTGAGACAGCATTGGCTCTTGGGGCTACTCCTCGCCAAGCAACACGTGAACAGGTGAAAAGGGCTCTGGTTATCTCGCTCTCTCCGGCCTTGGACAGTGCCAAAACCGTGGGTCTCATATCCCTTCCCGGTGCCATGACTGGCCTCATAATGGGAGGAGCATCTCCTCTGGAGGCCATTCAACTGCAGATTGTGGTCATGTGCATGCTCTTTGGAGCATCAACTATTAGCAGCATCATGTCGACATACCTCTGCTGGCCTGCCTTCTTCACCAAAGCTTACCAGCTAGAAACTAAGGTCTTCTCTTCAGATTGAGGTTGGCATAGTTTTAAACCCTATTCCCATTCCACTCAATTGTGATGTAACTTGAATGGGGAGAGCAATACAAATCTTTAGGGCCTAGTGGTTATTGTTTGGTATGAATCACGTCTAGGTGTGAATCATAGACGACATTCACCATTCAAATATGATTTTTGCACCCCATGAATTTTCTAGCTCCAGCTTGAGATCTACTTTGGATGCTTAAAGAAAGTTGCAAGTGTGGTATGTCAAATATTTGAATTTGACATTTCCAATAGTTTAAGCAGAAACAATCCTTTTGAGTTTTAACAGACTACATATAGAATTTGTCTGTTGGATTGCAATTTATGTTCAAAATAGACGGTGAAGACGTTTTTGTTTCATTCCAAAGAATTGTAAGGAACTGTTTTGAGAAGTTGAATGCTATGAATGAACTGTTTTAAGTTTTTTCTCTTGTTCCCAAAATATATCTGTCATTTCGTATTCATCTTCTTCTCTTGTTCCCAAAATATATCTGTCATTTTGTATTCATCTTCTTTGGGATGTAATTAGTCCAACCAAGCTAAACTTTAATGAGCAGCACTAGATAAATAATTGACAAATTCATGTTGACTACCATATTGAGACACCCTCACTACAATGTTTTAGTTCTTATAAATGATTTTTTATTTTATTTTATTTTATCTCAATTCAAGAAAAAAAGAGTAAATTATTAAAAACTAGAAGAGCCATATAGCAATTGGCAAGTATAACAGGTGGGCGCTTGCTCATTTATTCAAAAGCTCAAGTTATTAAGTGGGATTAACACCCAACTCTTTTATACCCATTTCACTTTTTATCCGGATCCGACGTGGAACAAGTTTTCCCTTGCAGGGCCGACTATGAGATTCTTAAAATTTTAAGAGGCCATAGTCGAACTTTCAAATGGAAGACCCTTTATACATAAGATCTCACACGCGCAAAAAATTTATAAGGACAAAATTTTCATTAAAATGAAACAATAAACATATAAAATATATTAATGCTGAAAACACACAAAACAAAACCCGCTCTTGGTGCTTTATAAAGAGCACGATCTAATTTACATTAAAAAATTATATATTAAAAGAAATATTCAACACAACTTAGTTACAAAAATCAAAATTTAACTTCACATGAAAGTAAATTTGATCATCTTGCATTTTGAGATGCAAAATTATCAATTAAAGTGTTACAATCAAGTTTTTCTAACATATCATCGACCATAAGTAAGATTTGGTCAACTTCAACTTTGAAAAGCTTATCTCAGCAGATGTAATTGTAACTGAGATAATTAATAATATATGCAATCCAAGAATTTGGAAAACAATAACTTAGCCTTTTTATGAAATCTAATACTTTAATTGTCTTTTTTTTTGTTTCTCTTGGTAAAGCTCCTCTCCGGACTTGTAACTCCAAAATTAATTTTGTTACATCAATATCAAAAACCACGTCATGTTTTAAGACATTTTTAAGATTATTTTGGAGAATGTGATAGTTGATTATACCTATTAATTAAAATTTTGATTTTTTTAAATAAAATAATTATAAAATAAACCAGTTCATGAGTTTAAATATAAAAAAAAGGAAACGCACTCCACTTCTCTTTTTTCCTTAAAGCAAGTGACAAAAAAATTCATAAACTCATTTATATATCATTCCTTAATTTATAATACCATAACTGCGTAGTAAATATTTTTTTTTTTTTCAAGAATTGCGTGTGAGATTGTAATAAAAGAGAGGAGAAGTGAAGGGAGAGGGATGTTGATGGGTCACTTTAATAACTTACTTTTTTATGTCACTTTGGTATCTATTATAATTCTCTATTTTTATTTTTTATTCTAAATTTGATTCTTAGGTTGTGGCTATAGAATTTAACATGCTTCTAGTATCATTTTAGTATATTAACAAATAAACTTTTTTTCAAAATTTCATGAGATACACTTTTTTCTCTTTCTTTCTGAATTTGATACTGTTTCTAGTATCATTTGTTTAAGATTATAATCAGGCTAGTCCACTTATTTCATGAATTCTTAAAAATCAAATGAAAGAAACAAAAATTAAAACTGAAAGCATACAACTAAAAATAAAATAAAAAATTACCATCATTATTAGTATTGAATGAGTGATGGGTCAGAGAGGCTGGAAGTAAATCAAAATGTTAATTGACGAGAGATGGAGACGGAGACAAATAGATCTTTCTATAACTAAATGAATGAGTAATTATGATATTTGAAAAAATAAATTATTTAATTATAAAATTAGAGATAGAAGTGTCCTTTTCTTTAACAGTGGAGTGCAATAATAGAAAAATGCCTCCATATAAAAAATTAAATAATTTTCTTTTGAAAGGAGGAGATAGAAACAAATTATTGTTACAATACAAATTATTGTGTCACGTATAGAAATTGATATTATTAGTGTGTTTATTGCCATATATATTTTTTAAAAAGATATTTAGTAGCTTAAATTTACATGATATATAGTGTGCATTGTTTTTTAATTATGGAAATTATAATGTAGAATTAGTGATATTTCAAATATATATTACTATAATCCTAAATTAGAGGCCCTTCTAAATTGAAGGCCCTAGGCGACCTTGGTTGCCTTGCCCCAAGGCCGGCTCATTCCCCTTATAGCATTCTCCTCTACCTAAACTCATAACGTATTCGTTACGATCGGGTCACCTTGCCTACTCGATGGTACACCTAGATGCTTTTCGGATCGGGCGCTTGATATGGTACTGAATCAAGGATTAGGTCATACTCTGATACTAACTATAACATGTGGACACTTATCCATTTACTCAAAAACTTAAATTATTAGGTGAGACTAACGCCCAACTCATTTTTTTCATTTCACTTCTCATCTGAATTTGACGTGAAACAAGTCTTCCGTTATAGAAGTTGTTAGCTGATCCATCTTTTTGCTTCATCTATACAATTGGGAGTCATTTCCTACAAATGCCCTCAATTTTTTTATTTTTATTTTTGGAAGTGATCGGTCAGAATCATTTAAATCTCACACCACCAATTAGTTGAATGGGGAGTATTCGATCGAGTAGGATAGTAGGCTAGTTAAAATCATTTTCCATTCTAAAATTGTGACACCATGCATTAACGAAATTCGAATAGCCATAGTTTCACTATTCCTTAGAAGCACCTTTCATACTTGGTACCCATCACCGACAAGGCAATACCACTTTAGTTATTTCCAATACCTATAAATATAAATGTAGATGTTTTTTCAAGTCAACATACATACGTATATCTCCGTGTATATATAAATATATCATAGGGATTATTACTAATACATGGGCTTAAGGCCCAAATGTTACTCTAAAATAGAAACAAAGTCTTAATTTTCACTAAAAGGATTGACCTAGAGAATATTTCTCTAAAATGGATTCTACTTTATGCTTTATACCACAAAAGAACTTATATTACTAAAATGACCCAAAGTAATATTTTAATATAACAAAAGCCTTAGAGCATAAAATTACAGCAACGTAATAAAGACTTATAAACTTCTTTAGACAAAAGATCGCATATATAAATTAAATTTAACGAAACAGTATAGCTCTGATACCAAAATTGAGATGGATCTAACCGGATAGAAGCATGCAAAATAACATAGAATCAATTTATCAATTAAATCACAGAAATGATTGCTGAACCTGATAACGCCTTGTAGAAACGCCTGAACACCGGCAAAGAATGGGCCAACAAGCCAACAGTTCGAGTCAACTCACATAAGAGATTGATAAATTAAAACTAAGGCTGCTTGTACTGGTTGGATTCAAGAAAATTCTAGGATCTACACTGTCTGGTTAAATAAAATTTATATATCTGATCTAATTGTCGACAGAAGTTTTTTACCCGAAAGTACTGAAAATACTAAATAAGGAAAAGAAATATGTTGAACAGAGGCAAACTGGATGATTTATTTCATGAAAAATATATACATGGATACACACTGTTTATACATGAATACACTCTCACACTATATATTACAAAGGAAATATACTGAAGGAAGTCACAAAAGAGAACACACTGGAAACTGAAGGCCGAGATGCTTGATGGTTCGAAACTTGTTTTCTCTAAAACTCGATGATCTTTACTTGAGCAGAGGGACTCCTTTTATAGCAAAAGAAAGGGATGAATTGGCGGTTGAGCTTAAAGATGCTGTATGGATGGTTGAGATTTAAGATGCTTTAGAGATAAGATGACCTGAATTATTGCTGAACTGTTGATGTCGTCTTCTGGAGAATTATCTACTTTTGCTGTTGAGGATCTGCTTTCGGTGGATCTATACACTATTGAGGATCTACTTTTTCTTAGATGCTGAAGTTGCATTTATCTTTATACTGTAGAGAATTTGTTTTTTCAAAAATCTTGCATATTATCCAAATTTCTGTCGGTAGTGCTATCTGGTGGACTGTCAATTCTTGCTCTTGCATGTCTGCGGGCCAGGTATTCATCAGTACTGTCTGGTGAGCTGGTTTCTTCATTTCTGTAGGCAAGTTCAAGTTATTTGTATAAGAAATTCTTTATCAAGGAAAATTTGAAATTTTTCAATAGAGTTGGTTACCCCTAGAATTTCTAAGTCTGTTGAGGGTAAAATAGATTGTGCTTTATTAAAAGTTCCACTAGCATGGCGACAAATTTGTTCTTCATCTCGAGAAGACTCTTTTGTTGGTCTTTGAAAAAGTAACCCTGCCAATCCTTGAGCTGATGCATCTGTTTGAATAATTTTATAACTTTTTTCAAGTGGGAGTTGTAAGGGTTCTAACTGAGAGACTAAAGATTTAATTTTCTTAACTAACTCTATATCTTGGGTATTGAAATACTTTTGACCATGTTTTCTTAATTTTGAATATAAAGGTCCTACTAATTGTCCTAATTTGGGAATAAAATTACGATCATAGTTTAATAATCCTAAAAATGCTTGTAACAACTTGGTTTCTTCTAGTTTATAGGAAAGTTTAGAATCTTTTTGACAATATGAGATTGTAATTCTATTTTTCCATCTTTTATGTATAAACTTAAGAATTCAATATCTTGTTTTTCTAATATCATCTTTTTACTACTTATAATGAGTCCTTTTGTTATAAACTCGTTGAAGATAAGTTCAAGATGTTTTCTATGCTTTTCTTTAGTTTGACTGAAGACTAAGATATCGTCGATGTAAACACAACAGAATTTTAAGTGTTTATTAAATATAGTATCCATTTTACGCAGAAACTCTTGTGTTGCATTTTTTAATCCAAAAGACATAACAAACCACTCATAATGTCCTTCAGGACATGTGAACGCTGTCCATTCAATGGATTCATCAGCCATCTAAATTTGCCAAAATCCTTATTTACAGTCAAATTTAGAAAACTATTTTCTATCTTGGATTGATTTATTAAAACATTTTTATTAGGGATTCT